AGAGAGGTGGGGGTGGAGGGGGGGTGTGTCCAGTTCTGATGTACACAATTTTCTGTTGTTTCCTTTTTCTGTTGTTACTTTGACTGATGGGTATTGTATGGTTCAGATGTTCGATGGAAATAGATGTGAGAAGAAAGCGCGATAATGTGAACTGTAACACTTTAGAAAGGCTCTGTAATGCAACGACAGAAACAGTTAACATAAACAGCACCACTAAGGATATCATAGCAGAAATTTAAAAAGTACAACACTACCAACAACAATAAAAACAACAACAGAAACAACAGCAGCAACAACAACTACAAGGACAACAACAATGATAACAACAACAACAACAAAAAACAGCAGCAGCAACAACAACAACAACAACAACAACAACAACAACAACAACAACGACAACAACTACAACGACAACAACAACAACGACAACAATTGAAATGCATGTAGCAGTGGTGGTGACAGTAGCAGAAGCATCACCACTACCAGCAACAGCGGCAGAAACAGCAAGAATAACAGCAACAGCAGCAATGGAGGAGTTACACTAACAACTGCAGCATTTGTTGAAACAACAACAGTAGCAGATAAAAACATCCAGCAGCAGCAGACAGAACAGCATCATAATAGTCATTGAAGATAGCAAAACGACAAAAAAATAATTTAAAAAATAATAATAATGTCGAGGACGGTAGAATTTCGCAAATCATCATCATCATCATCATCATCACAAGCAGCAGCAGCAGCAGCACATCAACAACAGAAGCATAAATAACAGCAACGGTAGCAGCAGTAGCAAGAACATAATACAAAAAACCGAACAAACAAACAAGCAAACCAACAAACAAACAAACCAACAAATGTCGCAGTAGCTAATTGCGCTATTACCCTTGAACCCTGGACCCAGGATGTTGCTACTACTGGCTTGTCAAAAATGTCCTAGAGGGCTTTTTTTCTGCTCTTCCTCTTTCTTTAAAGTGCTTGCTGTATCATCCATGTTTTTAGAAATAATGTATGACAACGTTTGATGCAATCTATCCTTTCTTAGTGGATTGCGTTATCTCTCCCCCAGTTGTTGTCTTCCGGGTTCAGGTTCCCTGGTTTTTTATTGGAAAAAAAGAGGGTTGGGGGGGGGGGGGGGGGTTGAGGGAGGTGGGGGACAGAATCTGAGTAAATTTTATTACAAAAAACAGTAGCAATAAACTCATAACTTCACAGTCCCTAACCTTGCCAGTTTCCTTTTCTTTCTTTTCTTTTCTTTTTTCTTTTCCCCCCCCCTTAAATTCTAGCAAAAAACAAAAATGTCACAACTGGAGCAAGGTCCGATACCAAAGGAATTATACCCACTGATCCTTGAGCTATAAGTCCTAACTTTGAAACGACGCATATGTGTAAAAGAGGCACAACCCTTTAACTATTTTTTTTTCAGCTCAAATCTCGATAGTGATTTTGTACGTCACTTTAAAAGCTCAAAGTTCTTCCACATAAAATATTAGGGCAAAAATTTGATCAGACACTCAAATAAAGAAACACGTTCTCCCGCATCCTCCTCCCTCATTTCCTCTTTTCCTTTCCCTCCCTTGTCACTTTTAAAGTAAAGATGAATGAGTTTCTGCTAATGGAGGAGGAGGAGGGATGGGGGTGGGGGGGGGGGGGGGTATTCTCAACTCTGCAAACATTTAGGTTGCAAAAATCCCTTATAAATAATCTTGATAATGATGATGACGACGACGACGATGATGATGATGATGATGATGATGACTTTAAAAACAATCTTTTTCCAGTCTACAATGATTGTGATAATGATGATGATGATGATGATGGATATGATGATCATGATAAATAAAATAGCATCGGCTAATAATAAAGAAATAGATCTAAAAAAATATCAATTGAATTCTCTTGATAAAGTGTGGAGTCACCCCCTGGGCGCTGCCACGGACTGAAGTGTCTTTAGACCATTCCCAAAGGGGGGACATTTCTCGTTCTAATGCACAGTAGAATTGTAAATAGGCTGATCCAACAATGTCATGCTCATAACTGTGCCTTAACTACAACAGGGAACTGCTGCTTTTTCTTTCCTAATCCTTATTATCGTCAATTTCCTCGCTTCTTCTGTATGTTTGTCACACTCTTGTGACTAAATAGTGTGTTATGCTTTTCATTTACACACATTTCTCTTTTAGCTAAATTACAACTGGAGTATTCATTATAAACTCTCATTTATAAAGCAAACTGCGTTCTTCAAACGTCAAATCACATTCGTTCAAAGATTAAAAGAAGCATAACTGTTAAAATCACAATTGATAACTGTAAAAATGTTGTTATCTCCCTTTAGTATCTTGCTTCTCAACGCGAAACAACAGTCATTTATGTTTACCCTCAAGAAACAAAACTTTAAAATAAATTATAAGTGTTCTGATGCATTTATCACTGCTATTAAATCAATATGATTAGAAATGTCCAAACTTGATACTCAAGGGAAGGAAAAAGAATCTGTTTTCTTTTTAGTGTTGGATAATCCTTTAAAGTACCGTACTTCGTTTGTTTGTTGCTGTACTTTTGCACAGGAGGTGAACGCCCCTTTTTTAGAGGTCAGGGTCAAGATTGCACTGCCGGTTTGTCACAAACACCAATAAATTGTTATCTTTCCAACGAATAAATCAATCCAGTATAAGAGAACGTTACGTTACTAATAAAAAAGGAGCTATAGTGTGATTTATGGGGGCTATCCTAAACTGAATAGGCATATGTGTGGAAGGGCTCCCGAAAATTAAAGAGATAGCCACGGACTTGAAAAGCCTTTGGCCGAAAACAGAGAGAGCGCTTCACGAGCTAAGATCAAGTGCCAGTAAGCTACTGTTCTTTACAGTGCCTTACCATCGCACAAAATTCACTCATCAAGCTGTTACTGTTAAATAAAATGTGAGGTATGTTGCTGGCGCCCACTTACGTTTGATAGTTGTTTTTTTGTTTTTTTTCCTTACATGTAGGTCTATACTATACCGCGAGGTGTTATCTCTGTTTGCGACCTGTCTTGTGAGGAAATACCTGGCGTATGTGCGGCACGCACGCAGGTGACTGGAGTGGAACGAATAAGATCTACCAGCATTCTGTTGACCTGGACTGAAGCGCTTGCGTGCGACCTGGCATTACTTAGTCTTTAGTTAGTACCGGCAGAAGCTTACAACAGAGCGTAGTGTGGCATACTTTTTCTCTTCTTGACGCTACCATACTTAAACATCAAAATGACTGAAGGAAGAAATGTTGTCATTGCCATGGACGAGAGCCATCACTCTGATGATGCGTTCGAATGTAAGTTGCTTTTCTGTTACAAAAGTATTGTTTACTTTTTATTTGTTGCTTTTTTTCGCCCTCACGTTTCTCATGACTTGCCAGCAGTCAAGTACACGTACTGCGAATATCCCCCCCCCCCCCTTTCAACCCCGTCCCTTTTTATGTTCTTCTCCTATCTATCAATGCAAAAACTTCAGATATTCCACCTGCCCTCGGCTGATTGTTTTTTTTTGTTTACTAGATCTAAATTTGATTAATTTTATTTCAAATTTCGTTCACACAAACTTGCTCGAAAACAAAGACGAAATCTAGACTAGATCTAGAATCTAGAAGAACTCAACATAAAGTTTTCGAAGTGACTATTGCTCTGAACGTTCGGGAAAATAAAGCTGTATGTCTCCAAATGGTTTCCGATCTCGAGATTTTTTGGGTTTTGCGAGATTTAGGCGGCGTCCTTTCATTCTGCTTTTCTATCTGGACTGGGAAGAAGCATTTTTTGCATCGAATTCAATTTCTAGAATTATAGATTTTTAAATGTCTGAATATTCAGGTGATACGGTACTTTAGTCGTGGTTTGGGCAACGTTTCCGGACTTACTACACACCTCCAAAGGGTGCTGCGAGAAAACAAGCTCGACCTTGGTAGTCACCTATTTTGCATTTAGTCACCCAGCAAAAACTAAAATCCTTCTCGTAAAAAAAAATCCCTCCACCCACCCCCTCCCCCCCAATCCGTTCACACACACAGACACACGCACACACACACACTACTGACACACACACACACACACGGGCCGCTCCATTCGCTTAAATTATCGACAAATCTCGAGAACGGAAACCGTTTGGGGAAATAGAGTTCAAGTTTAGTTTCCTGAACGTTCGGAGAAATAGAGCCGGCCTAAAGTTTTTTTTGCTATAAAAAATGAAAACCTCATCACAGTACCCTGTGCTGACCCAAGACTGTAATATTTGATGGAAGAGGGAAAATACTTTGTACTTTCACTGTTGTTGGAATGTTACTCCAATAAGTTCCTGTCTAATTTAAGTTACCCGACCCATTTTGATTTAATAATTCTGTTATGATGTACCTCAAACATAAATTGGACAATTGTCTGGAACAAAGTGCAGTAGGTGGTTGGAGGGAGATACTGGAGGTTCTCTATCTTTTATTTCCCGTTTGTCTGTCTTTCTTGCTCTCTCCCTTTTCTAAATGACGGTTTATACTACAAGTGTTGATGTGCTTCTCGTTACTGAAGGAAAACAAACATTACATAGTGGTAAGCATCACTCCTTCCTACACAGGTACTCTTAACTGTTGGGTAGGCCTACTTTACCATAAAACCCTGGCATAAATTTTATGTTATTTATACCCAGTGCCCATCAGAGTATCAGACAAACCGATTGCCAACTGATCGCCTGACTCCCATTTGTTTTTTGAGGCTGTGAGTAAGGCGATCGGTTTTTGCCACTATCGCCTACCGAACCGAACCGATCGTGCCAATGGGCACTGGGTATTAGATTTTTAAGGTGACTGACATTTAACAACTGGTGTTGTGCAGGATGGAATTAAGTCTGCATCAAAGCAGAACAATAAAAAAAAATTGGAGGCAGTTTCCTCATTAAACAAAGGTGTTGATTTGCTTGGTTGAAAATCTTTGTCAAACATTAATAACCAAACGCGATGATACATTACAGCCATCACTTAATTTTTATTCTCTCGCACACAACTGTGCATCATACTATGATCTCTTGCATTGTCTGTCGCAGTCCAGTACTCACACGCTGTAAGTATCACATGCACAAGACGAAGGCTCAGTTCTTGTGTGGGGAGGTTTAATATCTAGGCTACCCGTCTGTATGTGGGGACATTGCAGAACTGCCAACTACTCCGATAAAATCAAAGTCCTCCAATTTTACTTTTTTGACAAAGGAAGAACCCCTAATCCGATATTCATAAAGACCTGATTTTGTTCTTAGATTCTGATTCCATGTGGGTTGTAAACAACTTTAAACTTATTGTAAATGACGTAAAAATACGGAGGTGAATGTGCAATATATTCAATATTTGTGTGACTTATCATTTCATAAATGACGTGTAAATACATTTTTATTTGCGTTTATTTGTGTGTATTTGCCACATCAAGCCTGCATGATTGTTTATTTGCCACAATTGGTTCATAAAGTAATGTGAATCTACTGGGTTCTGGACACTGATTTTTTTTTCTCAAACCCTGATCTTGTAGGGGGGAATTTCTGAGGAAACTACTACTACTACCTTTTAGTCATGAAAAGGTTAGCGGGTCTGACATTGTGTCTTTCCCAGCCTGAGTTGACCTTGACAGCCAGAGTTGAGTAGCCCACCTCCTGAAAGATTTAAATTGTTGAGTGTCGTGTGTGTGTATATGTGTGTGTGTGTGTGTATGGATG